TATGTGGCGCCCCCTGCTGGACTATGTGGCGCCCCCTGCTGGACAATCTCAGATGACATTTCTTGTTTTTTTTTGTCTCGATTTGACGGTTTTCTTAAATTCTTGTAAATGACACAGTCATACATTCTTTTCAACTTAATTTGTATTATATTATCTTAAATTATATGAATGTAACATTTTTACAGTAGCTGTGTGCAGGTATAAGTTCAGTGACGTTCATCTGTTAGAGATGAGCTTTATAAAGTCAAACAGTAAATGGCAGAATGTTTTCTGTAGCGTTCTCTGCAGCAGCAAGACTGAGGGTTTGCTTGAAAAGGCACATTGGTGCCTTTGTAGGGTGGGCCAGCCTGTCCATAAGGGAGTGCAGTTTGTTCAGTGTCCTCACCGACTAACCTGTCTAAATAAAGGTTGAATGAATGAGAACAACCCCCACTGACTCAAATATCTCCAAGTTCTGCCCAGTGGACTTGATCAACTTTTATAATGAGTTTATTGAGTCTGCGTGCAACGCTGGCACTGCGGCAGCTCCCCCAGCAGACCAGGCCACAGTAGATGGTACCTGCAACCAAAGACTGATGAAGAACTCCAGAATCTTACTGCACACAACCATCAGAGCTGCCACAAAATAAAGAGTCTGCTCATCACTTTCAGGAGCAGATGATTTCTGCCAGATCCCTCCACAAAACTGTCCACCAGTTCCATGTAATTCTTGTTCATCATAAATCCACTCCATAACCACTGAGTCATCAGAATACTTCTGCAGGTGGCATGACTCGAGAGTACTGTGGTACTGAAAGTCTGAGGTGAACAGAGCTGACAGGCACAGAAGCAGGGCTGTCCTCTGCAGTGTGGACTGATCACCACTTCAGACGGACAAAAGGAAGGTCAGAACGCTCAAACCTGCTCCATTTGGTCCAGCCATCATCTTTCCTCCTCTTCTTTTCCAGGTCCCAGGGTCACTGTGCGAGAGGCGGGGACACCTGGACAGGTCTCCAGTCCGTCACAGGGACACATGGACAGGTCTCCAGTCCATAACAGAGACACCTGGACAGGTCTCCAGTCCATCACACGGACACATGGACAGGTCTCCGGTCTGTCACAGGGACACCTGGACAGGTCTCCAGTCCATCACAGGGACACATGGACAGGTCTCCAGTCCATCACAGGGACACATGGACAGGTCTCCAGTCCACCACAGGGACACATGGACAGGTCTTCAGTCCATCACAGGGACACATGGACAGGTCTCCAGTCCATCACAGGGACACAGAGACAGTTTAGAGTTACCAGTCAGCCTAACATGCATGTTTTTGGTGTGTGGGATAAAACCGGAGCACCTGGAGAAAACCCACGCAGCAAACTGCACCCAGAAAGGCCACTGGCAGGGATTTGAACCGGCAACCTTCTCTCAGTTTCTGTAACAGGCGAGCACTGAGCCATCGTGCCACAGTTCAGTTAAATCTCATCACGTAACTGAAGTCCTTTCTTACATTTAGCGCTGCAGGCAGTCCAGGTGAACACACCTCCTGACAAGAACAAGCTACAAGCTGCTGTTTATCTGCAGAATAATTACAACTGTGTTTAAAATGCAATGAACAAGTCACTGCGTTGCCTTTGATTCGATGACTGGCTTTAAATCATGGGACTTTCTTCATCAAACAACTTTGTCACTTCATTTAAAGAGAAAACCACAGGACAATAAAAATAAAATCTAGTGGAGTTTTTAATAGAAAATCTCAGCGGATGGGAAGAGAAACATCCTTAATTACAACAAAAGTTCATTAGCTTTATCTTTTTTTATTAAAAAAAATCTCCTTCTTGTTGCAGACTCCACCATGAAGGAGAAACCGGCGCTCGTGCAGAAGCAGCAGCTAGAAAACTGTGTGCCGTCCCTGCTGCCCGATGTCACGAGGAGCCGCCAGCCCAACGCTGCTCTGCATCAAGGTCGGTGCTGATGAAACGCTCAGACTGGAACAGGGGTGAGGGCTTAGCTTTCCTGCAGGGATCATTAAAATTTCATCCTCTTCTATTTTACAAGTCATTATGCAAAGACACTCAGCCTTAAGGTGACACAACAATTCAATAACTTCTCACACACATGGATTCTGTGCTTAGGCCTCACTGAGACAATGCGACCTCTAACTGACCTTGTTCAGTTCAAAGCTGTGCAGTCAAGACAGAAGGATTAAAAGTTACGGGTTAGACACACACAAACCCGTCTTTGTATCGATCACAAAGTGCACCAACACCAAGTCAAAGAACAAAAATAAGTTGAGCATCCATCTTTAAACCTGGAGCTTTATTACATGAGATCCCATAATGCATTTGGAAGGACACAGGAAAGCTTTCTTAGTTCAATTAAGATTGAAAGACAGAAAAATAAATACATAAAATGTACATTTAAATACAATTTACAGTAGAATATAACAAATCTATTTATTACATGGCTGCTCAGGATTAAACATTAACGTTTCCAGACCAGAAAGATAAATGTGACAGAAAACAGCAGTGACTTTCTGCGAGGTACAGGACAGACATACATAGATATAGATATAGATATAGATATAGATATAGATAAAGGATTGCAGTGTTTCTATCTTCCTGGTATGAAAATAAAAGGAGTATTTCCTCCTGTGGAGCTCAGACTTTCTGTTGTTGTTCCAGTAAGTTTAGAGGACAAGTTGCTTGTTGCCACCACAGCAACAAACACTCCACAAAGGCAGAGCAACGGCAACAACAGCCCTGAAAGGCTGAACAATTCAGATTTTAAAACGGGTCATTCAGCTCATGGAAAATGGTGCTTTGTGTAAAGTTTCTGAGCAATTAATACTTTACCTGTAGATAGATCTCTGCACAGCCTTGATCTGGAGGATTAGATTTGAATTCATACATATACATTTATATATATATGTATATACATATATATATATATGTATATACATATATATATA